TATTCGCAGCTCGAGTTTTGAAAGAAAAAATAAAGTAACTCTTAAAACTCCGTCTTTAAATGTAAAATTGGTTCTTACCATTGTCTACAAGTTACTGCAGTGAAATCTGTGAAAAGTGAGATTTCACTGTGGCATCTTATTGCTAAAATCACAAAATAAAGAGTCCTCACTTAAAACTATCATTACAGAGACACGACGGATATAAAATTATTAATTTAAATCAAACTCACCTAGAGCACCAAGACGGGTAAGTCGGGAGAAGTTTTTAGAAGACTCCAGAGATGTTCCGGCTTTTATACCTTTTTGCAGGCAACTCGAGGGCTGTGAAGCATCTCATAAAATCTCTAGCATTTACAAAGTATGGATTTTATTTTATGGGTAACTCCTCTAATACCTGTAATTATTTTCATAGTTTTTAATTAGTAAATCATCCACAGACCTACACAATATGACTCTCGTATCATAAATTCGGGCTTTCTATTGTGTTGAAATTTTACAACCAAATTCCTATGCAATATCGTTCTGCTGACTACGCCGGCTTTACGATGGAAACTGATTGACCACTGCTTAATAATTTTTGCTAATGATTTAGGGCCGCCCAGAAAGATCCACCCTGCAAGTCTGCTCTCAAGAATGGCCTGGCCCTGATGCTGAGCAACGTGAGGTAATTTTGAAGTTCAGCCTCACTTCTAAGTTGGAGATCCACCTTGGAGCGAAAAGCCCCGGCGATTTTGGGGTATGCCCTTGCGGTGGCCCCGCTGGCATCCTCATCACAAGGCTCTACACGCAACATCCCAACGTGATTTTTGATACGTACTTTGGTAAAATTACTCAGCGGGCTCAGAGCTTAAGGGAGACGTCATGTGTCACTTCAATCCCATTTATTTGTGTTTTGAAAAGAATTTCTGCAGGGCTTTGTCCTGGCGAGCGTTCGAGAGTAACTTGTGAGGCCTCATTCTGTCGTGGTGCTGTATCATCCGTTCGGTCAACAGAGACAGGCAGGGCTGTGAATACTGACTCCCCATCCAAGGTAGAGTTGGATGACTCCATTTGGGAGGTATTATACCTAAACCTAAGGCTTACAGATAAACTGTGGGACTGACATATCGGTAAACTGCCTTCCTTCAAACCATTACAGAGAAGAAAACAGAGAGATCAATTCCTTTCGGTTAGAACAAGAAGGTGGGGTTTTTTTTTCCATTGTTTGAGACAAAAGGAAGCTGCTGGGTGTTGGATGCCTGTCACTCAACATAAACGGATCACTGATCATGAGTTGAAATGAAAACAATTACAAGGCTTAGAAGAGAATCTTTTTCTTGGCAGGTGACAACAATTCAGTGAATAATGAATGACCTCATAACCTTCCTCTTGTCTAAGAAAGTGTATAAAGGTGGAGAGAACTAGGAAATCTTCTATTCTTCCAGCTCCACTGACATTGCTCTAAGACGACAGCGTAAGTCTAACTTCATTGCACTTCTTTGTAGCTATAGAATACTTAGAATTTATTTCTTTTTTTTTTTTTTTAATCTTGAAAAATATTAGCAGTTTTGGAAAACCTGAGGTAAAGAGAAGAGTAGACTCAGCAAGAATTATTAGAAAAGCCGAGGGAAAGGGAAAAACAGAGCAAGGCAGATTCTGTTACTTTCCTCTGGAGATTTTTCTGAAGTTACAGGAAAAAAATCTTCCTGTGGGTCCACTTTGAAAAGAGAATGAATGGGACTTTTCTGACCAAGTAGTTGTATCAGGATCGGGTAATTTAATCCCAGAGGAAAGAGCAATAATTTTTGAGAGATTCGAGAGAAGAATGAGATGTGGATAGCACACAAAGGAAGAACGACTGAGAAGCCTTGTGAAGAGTCAGTCAGGAAGGAAAAGGGGAGACTGGGAGGGAGGGTTGAACTAGGAGTTGATGGGCAGCTGCAAGAGAAGGACGAGGTGCACCTGGTTCATACTGAGAACCTGTTGACACCAGACTGTGATGGTTTCCTGACTGCACGTTGTCTTCCCCAGCTTCACCTCCGCTCCCCAAGAATGATGCTGAACAACATTAACTCTGAGTGCTTGCCTGCCTGTGAGGTGACGTGCATGCAGCCATGTGCCTACAGCAGAAGCCTTGAGCCCTGTGTTGCATCGTGTGGGGACTCCAGAGCTGTGGTGTACGCTCCGCCGGTCGTCCTCACCTTTCCGGGCCCGACTCTCAGCAGCTGCTCTCAGGAGAGCATTGTGGGAACATCGTTTCCTGAGCTGTATGGTGCTTTGACCCCATACAGCTCTGACGAATCCTACAGGATGGGGGGCTCCTTTGGTTCTGGGGGCAGGTCAGGGAGAGGCACCTCCTTTGGCTCTGGGGGCTCCTTTGGTTCTGGGGGCATGTCAGGAATGGGGAACTCCTTTGGACCTGGGGGGTCCTTTGGGTGCGGAGATATGTCGGGGATCAGGGGTTCCTCGGAATCTGGGGGTTCCTTTGGGTTTGGAGGCTCCTCGGGGATGGGGGGCTGTTACAGCAGGGGGTCCTACAGCAGCAGCCGTTGCTCCCGCCTTGGAAACTGCAGCTCGTTCTAAGGCAGCCCAGATACCCAACACAACGGCTTAGGGCACGGAAACGCGAGATCCAGCTCCGCGGCTGGGATTGGCTTTCAGAGATGGCGAAAGCCCATTGCATCAGCGGGAGGCACCTCCAAACTGGGCCCACACCTCTTTTTTTTCCATGTTGTGCCTCATCTTCGGTCAATAGCAGTTTCATATGATGGCTTCTCTCCTTAAATTCTTTTTAGTCTTGTACTGCATCCTTCCTGATGGACTGGAAACGCTTCGGAATTTGCAAGTGGGACTTTGCTGCAAAGATTTCACCTTTACCTTGTTTTTTTTGTTGTTTTTTTTATCGTCAATGCCTTTTATCATCGACACAGATGGGTCTGGCTGCCTTTGGGCTACACAATAGACCATTAATGACTGGCACCATTCTATTCTAGAGCACTTCTGTCATATTAAAAGTCTTGTTGAATCAAATCGCCAGCTTTCTGGTTTTCTTTTTCTTCCATTCTGCTTTACAAACTAGTTCTAGTGAAATTGAACTTGGTAGGAATCAAAATAAGAGGTGGAGCTCCATGGATATAAAGGGAAGTAGGATTCAATACCCTGCTGGGTGGCTGCATAAAAGCACCAATCTCGTCATTCTCCCTGCGTGGGGAAGTGTTTCTATTTCAGTGGCTGACCCTGCAAGGAGTCATTCCTGAGTGGTCATTCCAATTTGTGAACATTTTCGATAATGTGGTTTGCAGAGGATGAGTGATAACTGTACCTGCATTCGGCTTCATGCGCTTGCTCTCACACAGTACTAAGAGGATCAGAGTCGGAGATTCTGAAGCTGGGCCAGGAGTATCTATGCCAACTGCCACACACGTGACTTCAGTGAAGGTGATGCCTCGCAGTTTACAAAGGAGAGTTACACCCCCCCACATTTCTTACTCAATAGGCTGAGGAATGAAACATTGAGTAACGAGAGCGTGAAAATTGCTGGGGCATTGCCGCCACGATCGTATTTGTGGTGCACTAGAGCAAAGTCAGCTGTGCCTGAGCTGAGACTATAAAACTGGAGTCGCAACAGCCAAGTAACTCCTTCGGTATTTTGGAATCCCAGTGTCTACAGACACACCTCTGCGCACGTCTTCAAGGAGCTGAAAATACCAATTCTGCACTAAGAGAAAGGATTTATACCCAATCAGAAGCAATCCTGCTTTTTTTTAACAATCAAAACATATATTACTACTTAAATCAGTGGATCCAACTAGCAGAATATCATTAATTTGCTTGATAGGCTTGCTTGCCATTACTGCTGGGCGATATAATTCAAGAAATATTCGATTAATGTTACGGTGCAGCACATTGTACGTGTAAACCTACAATATGAGTAGAGCTACTTGAATATTTCTCCTGAGATTTTTCTGATTGAGATTCAAATGGCTTGCAGACATAACATCTTAGAGATCTGTGTAAAAGATATCAATGGGGGAAAAAAAAAAAAAAAATTAAAACCAGATGAATAGTTGTCACGGAAGAATCTGTTTCTGAGGCAGTTCTGGCAATTATTGTGCGTGAGGCACTTTTGAGATTCTTAATTCTGAGAGAGCACAAGGGCATCCATGTAGCTGTTGCCTGAGGGATCCCATGGTGATGTTTAACAAGCTCCGATCATTTACTGCATAAACGCTTCAATTAAGTTAACAAACCACAAGGATTAAGACAATCAAAGGAAGGAAATGAATGTTACGCTTGGCACAGCAGCTCTTGCTCAGCCTACGCGCGAGCCCTCTCTTGTCACTAACAGCAGCACAATGGAAACAGCTCCTGAAGAAAAATATTGATACAGCTGCTGGGGTGAATTTCAGAGTTTTACTTTGAGGCGTGTCGCAGAGTGCAAGACTTGTAGGCTGATTCTCGGGTGCACGCAAATAACTTCTTCCCATCCCTTTCGGCCCCGCAACGCTCGGATCTAGGCTAACCCGTTTCCATTTGCGCTCTGTAATCAGATAAACTGTTTTACCATCGAGAGTAGATAAATCAGAGCACACGGCGTTGCCTTCTGATGGAATCAGGACCTGTGCGGTCATTTCAACCCCTGCTGAAGGTTAAAACGATTTGCTCAGGGATATTCAAGGAATGGCTGGTCGTGACCCTGAGTGACTGAACTAGGTTCGAGGTTGCTTTGGTTTTTGAGTGGGAGCTGTACCAGATCATTTCTGGAGGTTTTTCCGACCTAAAATAGTCTGTGATTCTGTTCTCTTTATTAGTATGTGTATGTCAGAAAGGGGGGAAAAAAATATTTTAGTGAAGAATTTCTGACAAATTATGTTGGCCATACAGAGGAATTAATTCTTCTCTGATGATAGTTCTCGAGTAATGTGTAAGAATAGGTGAACAAAGTTAACGTCCTTCAGCCTGGTTTGTAATTAAGAAACGGCAGTGAAATGAAATCCAGAAGACGGTGCTGTGATGCAACAGGGGCTTTAATACAAACAAAAAGAGGAATAAATTCTTGCAGAATGAGGCAAAGCAGAGACAAAGAACGCAATTTCCGTTTTGCCAAGGACCACAATCAGTCGGTCATTCAGAGGAGCACAGGGCTCACAAAGACGTTCGTCTTTCAGCTGGACGTTTTCACAGCCAAGTCCTACTACTTGTTCTACTCTCTTCAGGTTCAGAAAGAAGAAAACATAACATGAGAAAACGACAAAGTGAGGTAACATTGGGATTGTAAGCCTTTGATAAAGCGCGACGGGATCCCGAGCAACCCCAGCTCCTACTGACATCGGCTGGAGCAGAGGCTGCTTGGCATGTCTGATTTCCAGGCCTATATGTCAGCTACTAGTTTGTATCTTGCTCTTTCTTCAGTCGTTACTCTTTCTTAAAGATTTAAAATGGCCCATAGTTTCCGTAGCGATACCTATAATACCCGCTGGAAAAAGGGAAATAATTTCTACCAAATCCTGAAGAAAACGAGTTGCGGTAAAACCTTCCCAAACGGAACATCCCACCACCACATGAGCTCTCCCCACCGTATGAGCCCCCTCCCATGCCACCATAAGAGCATGAACCACGGGAGCCCATCCCATAAGAGCTGCCTCCACCACAGGAACCTCCAGAGCCCATTCCTCCACCTCCGGAGCCCATTCCTCCACCTCCAGAGCCCATCCCTCCACCTCCGGAGCCCATTCCTCCACCTCCAGAGCCCATTCCTCCACCTCCAGAGCCCATCCCTCCCTCAATTTCAGGTATGGCCGTTCCCACAATGCTGTCTTGAGGGCATGAGCTGATAATGGGTCCTGGGAAAGTCACGACAACGGGCGGCGCGTACACGATTGCTGTTGAATCTCTGCATGAGCTGACACATGGTTCATTGCAACAGTCGACATATGGTTGCGGACACGTCACTTCACATGGCCCAGAACAGCGGGAGCTAAGCATCTGTCCATAGGAAGACATCTTTCCAGAAGGCAAGTCAACCTGAAAGGCAGAGTGGGCACTAGCCTGGTAAAGTTACAGCCGGAGGAGTGGAAGAACAAATGCGTTGAATGGTGTTCATCTGCACAGGTGCAGGTACCTATGTCGGAGTCGTCTACACTAAACTTAAGACTTAGTGATTTAAAAATAAATAAATAAATGATCCTAATAAACGTTAACCACCATTCCTAAGGCACAATCCATTCTAGTCTAAAGCAGACTTGTACAGATCTCACCAGCTGAGTGAGATAAATCACCAGGTAGAGGCTTCTAAGTCTACTCCCACTCCTCTCTAGTGCTCCGTCGCCCCATAGCCTACTCCCAAACTGAGTTCTGGGATGAATGTCCCTCTATCCTTTTCCTCTCATCGTTGCCTTCACTGTGCGTTTTTGTCTGGGAGTCAGTCGTATCCCAATAATACTCGCGGAGTGTCTCACCTCCATAGAATACTCAGTTCCTAGGAATTGTTACCATCCACATTTTTGAACCTCCCATTCGTTTCCACGCACACACACCACCCCCCTGCCTGTGGCTATGCCTATATCCACCCTATTTGCAAATTATAATTCCTCAGTAAAAATATTTTTAGAGAATGAGGTCCTACCCGTAAATAGGGTAGGATATATAACCTCATATTAAGGCTGCCTATAAATCCGTGTCTATAATTATGAGCTGATTCAGTTAAATCTGACTTACCCAGTCACCAAGAAGAATAAGTCAGCAGCAGCAGCTACAGAAACCTGAGTTACGAGCACTTTTATATGCTGTCATAGAGAACAGAAATTGGGAGATACCTTTACGCAACCGTTCTTTACGTCTTGTGAAAGAGAATGTTTTCCCCTTGTGATGCCTTTGTTTGTTGCAACTGTTTTGATAACAGCTTATGCTTACTAGATAATTTGCAATCCCACACAGCACAGTGCGCACACTTCGTACATCTTGTCTTTTCATGGGGAAAAATAAATAAATAAATAAAGAAAGAAAGAAA